GAAATATCACAGAGCTTAAAAAGAAGCAGATGAAACGTGTATCCGTTCGCACCGGGAAGCCGTACAATTCGACAGAGAGAGACTAATAAATATGTTCCCTTCTGATTTGTTCATGAGGGTTGGGTCGCGGTCATGAGTCATGACGCCCTCACCATCACTATGCGAATCCACCTCGGATCCGGGTAATCGAGGACAGCAACGAGTAGGTCCGTCATCCTTCCAAGATCCGTATCCGAAGCAGAGCAACTGGAGACTCACCGCCGGAGCGGACCGGGTAATGGAAGTCACGCCGACTCCGAAGAGATGGTCAACCTCACACAGTACTCGAGGCTCATTCGACTCGATTCGAGAGGAAGGGGCAGCTTGTTCGATTCTCTCCCCGCCTCCATCGAGAACTAGAAATGTGGGGAGACGAATATCGAAGCGATGATGTCTCCTCGGCCCCGATAGCTGCTTCATCTGATCCTTTCGACAAATCCTGATCGGTCATTCTCCGAGAGCTTCGGCACAACGAGTCATTACTCGCAGGGTCCTATAGGTGCCGCCGCTCCGCCATTATCGTGCTCGGGGCTACAGCGGACGTGGCGTGTATGTGTGGGATTGAATCCAAGATTTGCACACGAATGGAGGAAATGATCTCCGGTCGGATAGGAATTCACAGATCTGAAACGAACACGAAAATGACCGAAACAATCATAAGAACCCCGAGTTGTTCCTTGGAACCGAGAGGGTAGTGAAACTCTCAGTGGATCCCCGGCTTCGGGACGAACTTCTTGGGAGAGCGGGCGTCTGGCGATCGGGAAGCGACGCCTGGAGCTCCGCTTGCGATCGAGTAGATTCCGTGATCGAGAGAGAATCGCGTGGTAATCCATATCGATCGATTCGGAAATCGAGACGAGGCTCCGGGGAGTAAGGCAGAGGTATGGAATCCCGACTGAGTACCCAGTCCGTGCCAAGAAGAACTCAGCTGGAGACCACGCCGCATTCGTCGGATGACGGATGCAATCGAAGCGGTCATCCCAAAACGGAATCGTTCGAGCTCCACAGAAACCCTAGACTTCCCTAGATAAGAATGGTGGCCGCACATCCCGATTGGGAAGCAGGTCGACGACTAGGTGGCCAGCATCAAATGCCTCTCTCAAAGACTATATATAAACACGGACCGGAGTCGAGAGAGTCAGAGATGAGGCTATTCGAGAGAGATTGCCTTCAAAAGTCATGGAACATAATTTATCGCTCAATGAAAGCAAGTTGCTTGGATGGATGGACCGGATGGATCGGAGGGCAAGAACGTAGATGAACTCATCCGATGTTCATGCTATTCACCGACCACTACGTATATTAGATGTGAAGGGCAGCACTCTCGGACGACCCTGGGGCAAGCTCTATGGAGTTGGTGCTACGAGTGACCACATTCGGACATTTGCGATCAAAAGCAAGTACTCAGAGCTGTAGATTGCGCCATCGACCAACAGCGAGGAGGAAAACGCCATTTGCAAACATCCCACTGTCGGGGAAAGGCGTCTTGCAACGAGCGAGCATTTCTGGCATTCTCCGCGGATCGAATCCGCTTCGCGGAATTCTACCTCTTCTGCTCGTCCCGATGATTTTCCCATCGTCAAGGAGAGCTCTCGATTCGGTTTCCGACTGCCGGGTCAGAAGAGATTTGCACGCGAATGTGATCCTCGACGCGACGAGCTTGAGGAACCCCCAAGAGAAATCCGGGACGGAGATATCGAAAACTTCTGCTCCGGAGCAGCAGATTCCCTAACGGAATGACTTCGGATTTTCCCCAGGACACATATGCAGGAGACTCTTGGGACCAATTACGATACACTCGGGGAAACATGTCACCTGAATGAGTTTCGAAGGGGTTCGTGGTGAGCAAACGATCGCGTAGCGGTAGCGGCCATGTCGTCGGGCCCTCAGCCCCTAACCCACAGAGGAATCCGTCGCCGTGAGAAGACAGTTGATTGATCCGCCGTGTCTGCGGTGATTTCCGTCGCTCGGAGCACGAGGTTCCGACCCTGAGTCTATTCAGAGGAGATTCTGCGGTTGGCAGTCTGATGTGCCGTGCGGGATCCGCGGCAGCCGTCCATCTTTTTCATCGGCAGAGCGGATTCATTTCAAGGAAAGCTGTCACCTAGTGTCACGCCCGAAAGTTTTTCATCTTTCCCTCAACTGAATTGTGGGAGCGTCGACTCAGAACTTTTCGGATGTCTGCTCAGTCAGTGTATCATTCCGAGAAGTTTCCGCGACATTCCTCGAGCCGAGATTTTCGAGCTGAACGAATGGCATGGTGATTCGAGTGCGAGGTGGTCAAAATGCCCGACCAGGCTCCGGATTTACTGTTGAGGGGCGATTGCACTTTTCCTGGAACAAAAGAAATCCATGAAATCCGTGTGAATTTCCTCTCCCACAATCGCGCTCCATTCATCGAATTGAGCCTCGGTAATTTTATCACGCTCCGGTGAAAGTTTCAGGCCTGGACCCGTGCTCCACATCATTGATCAACTCGAGGGGAAAAGGGCAAACAGTCTCGCTCTAGGGAGCGGCCAAAAAAGCTCAGCGCTGCACACCGCAGACAGCCGTTGTGCCGCAAGGTTGTCTGGAGAGCCGAAAAAACTCTCGGGTCATCAGACCGTGTGAAGTAGGCGAACAGCTTTCTCAGGGAGAGTTCGCCCACGACGGCAGTAACAAGTCCCTCTCGTCAAGTTCGAAAATAGTCGCGAGAGCGAGAGTCTATCGGACGGAAGACAAGAGCCTGCGGACAATGGACCGAGAGAATTCTCGCGGAAATTCACATCCATACTGACTGAAGCTCGAGGATCACGTTGAGGGTGCGAAGCTCCCTGGGAATTTTCAGGCATTCGGTTCCCGTAGATAGCATTTGGTTTATCTGTTCCCGCAGCCACAAGTCTCTATCAGATCTCCTGTCCGGATCGAAACCGTTCAGACCTTGATAAACACGTGTGGAATCAGCCTAATGGAGTCGAATTGAACTTTTGATCGGACTCCGAGCATCGGAGGTGTTCTTCTTCGGCAAGAGAGCTAAGCGTAGGAGTTCGAATGAATTGAGAAGGCTCGATGTGGGCTAACGGAAATTATCACATCGAGGACAACGGGGATCGAATCTTCAAGCCGAGGTCAGAGAACCTCAGCTGTTCGAATAGGAAGCAAGGGTTTCCCAAAGGCAGGCGAGTGATGAATGAACGCCGTCACCTTGCTCGTACTCCCGTACGATAAGTTGAGGAGCTTTCTCCATTGAGGTTGCTGCTATCGTGTTTCGATTACCGATCTTTGAATCGGGAGCACGCTCTCGTTCTCGATTTGAGATCCCCTCTGGAAAAATATGCTCGAGCTCTACGGACCCCACTAGTAGTCCTTCTTCCACAGGAACCCCTCCACGGAGGGTCTGGAGAAAAAAAAGCCCGGGCCTTCGTTGAGAGATTCGCGGTACTTTGACGACAGATATGATCGGGGAATTTCGGGAAAAAAATTGCGGACAAGGAAAAAGTCCATTCTGCACCTCTCCGAGGACGAACGCGGTGATCATGCCCCGTCTCTGGGACTCTGTGTGCCAAGGAGCGCCGACTCCGACTTTCGAGCGTGCACAACCGCGGAGAAAAGTGATGCCACCGGAACTTCACTGAATCCATGAAATCCATGTTACACGCATTCGTTGCAGTTCGATATGGACCGCCCCCGCGCCGGCGCCGGCGCCGCCGCTCCTCTCGAGAGAGTTGAGGCGCGGATTTTCAGCCTCAATCGAGATATCGTACCGTTATTCTGGCCGTCATCGTCGCGACGGCGAAGTCGAATTCCGGCTTCATTGCGATGTGTGATTGAAGCCTGCTGAAACTTGCCCTCGTAGAGATTAGCTATGGCGGTCGAGGCCGACCCCCCGGCGCCTGAACCGCATGGCTCATGAATTCGTCGGCTTGCTGCGAGAGAGAGCGGAATCTGGGAATCAATTGAGAATTCAATCACGCGCGAGTCCACGAGCCGCGAAGCTGGAAATGTCTGTATCAACGATTTTGTGAAGCTCAATGAAGCGCGTCGCTTCAATTTTCCTATTTAGCCAGAGCGCATTCGGGACCTCTTGAAGAGTGACTGCATTTGAACGGAACATTCATATGTCTGGTATTGGGGCCCCGGGGAAGAATGCTCTGGATTCTCTCGCGGGAAAATGCGGAAATCCGAGCTTTACAGCGACAATCCCGTCGGCTTCGGCGCGAAGATCCATCTCTATCGTTCCCATTCAAAAGAAGTCCTATCCGATCCGGGCTGAGGTAAAATTGAAAAGCGGTCTGAGAAATTTACTCACTCAGTCGATTCCGCTCCTTGTAGCGCCTCCGCAAGGTGATGGAGAACGAGCACATCGATAGCGTGTCGCAGTTTAGCACGCGGATCCAAACATGAGATTCATCTCTGTTAAATTTTCCGCCGTTTTCGAAGCTCCTCCCTGACGTCTCATCGAGAGGAATGAAATTCGATCGGTCGCTCTGACGATGACATCGACAAGAAATTCTAAAAGATCTGCTCTCGAAAATATCTCAAGGCTTTCCTTGCCGAGAATATCTATTTTAATCAAGCCACATCCGTAGACATGTCCCAGGGGGACCGATATCGTCCGATTGCGTACGCGGAGCGTATTGCTTTTTCAGACTCCCAGACTACCTCAAGCCCAGCCCCAATGTCCCGAGCCCTCCGGTAGACGGAATAGGTCGAAATCGACTGGAGCGTGCACAGGTCGTCCTGGTCGTGGATTGGAAGCACGCTGCCGGGCCCACCCGGATCGAGACTCCTGGATCCCCAGCCATATTCGCTCATGATTCCGTTTCATACGGATCTCCGTCGATGAATCCCCGATGATCATCAGGGCCCTTTTCGGTCTGGTCCGAGCTGATAGTGCTCCGCAGCATCCGGGAGGTGTGGGACTGTGTGCGAAGACCTGCTCCTGTACCTGGAAGTGAAAACGATCCGTTTCTTATCCGCAGGTGTATCGCCATCTATAAGCCGCTGTCGCATCGAATGTCTCGCAAGTGCGCGCTCATAATCATAGCTCTGATATGGTTTGTGAGCGTAGTCATTGCTCTGCCGGGCTACGTTTTCGCGGATACCAGTACTTATCCTCCTCAGAACGATCGCGTCGTCTGCAGCCTCCTGTTTCCGGCTTTGGGGAGCTTCACATCGGAACAAGTGGATTTTGTGTAAGTACCTCGAAAATTCATTCAAACATAGTTCTTATACGGAGTTTTCTCCTGTCGGGAAGCGGGTTAAGTCTGTCTTCCGCTCTATGGAGCATGCGGAAATTTAGAATCAGCCCTGCAGGGAGCAGAAAATTCGTGAGGTTTCCGCGGGCAACGATGGTGAAAATCTCCGGGGTTCTGAATCCGATAGAGATTCCCGGAGAGGTTTTTCACTGACTCGAAAATTTGCCTCGCTCCGGCTACCCTGTCAGGCAGGGATTCCAGCTTATATGGCTCGTTTTTATGATGCTCCCTCGCGAATTGATACGAGAACAATAACACTTGGGAAAGAAACTCGAATGTAGAGCCCGGTCATGGGAGCGGCCAACGGGGAAGAATCGGAGCGCGAACGATCTCTCGAGTCGAACCCCCAGGCATTCCCGGACGCTCGACAGCTTAGAGGCTTAGAGCGTCTAAGGATCTCTCTTTGGTAGGGCCAATGCCCACTGGTCTACGCCACGCCCTGAGTAGTCCCGGGCTATCATCGATTGAGCACGGAACGCGAGTTCTGGGTCAGAGAACTCAAATGGGGGAATGAACCCTTCGAGCAGATGATTTCCCACGGAATCTCCCTGGGGGCGATCACCGGACCATCTCCAGCCAACGGGCTCTCTGGGAGGAATACACCGACAGAGAAACGAGCAACAGGGATCGGGGAGGTATCGGCGAAGAACTCGAATAGCTGAGGAAGTCGCCTTCCTAGAACAGAATCGAACGACAGAGGATTTGTTTTTTTCGAGTTTACCCGTAACTCGAGCCTCGGAAGTGAATGAGCATGATTTCTGCGTAGGAAGTCGGGGAACTCGGGAGAGACGCGGGTAAGGTCCAAGAGAGGCCATACACATACATGCGTCGATCTTCGGACGGCGCCGGTCGAGCCCAATATTCAAGACCTCAGGGGCATCTTCGCTTTAGAGGGCGAAACTCGTCGTCTCGATTCCTACGAAGGTCCGATAGAGTTTCCAATTCCCTCTCGGTGGGTTACCCTGAAACATTCACGGAGCGGAGGAGGTCGGAATCGGTTCCTCGAAAGTCACATACCCCAAGGATGATCGCTTCAGTTCCAAGGGAGACGCATGAGGCGTCGCTTTCCCGTCAACGGAGGGGAAAAATAGCTGTTCCGGACTCATCGGGACTCGGTACGGCATGATCTGTCCGCAGCCTGCAACGAGTCCGGTCAACTCCCCTTCGCGGGGTGACACTGCGGGATATTCGCGGCGAGAGGCACGATTTGTACGCAAAGTACCGGATCGACGAGTTCTCGTCCTTTCCAAATCGAGAGGATTCTGAGATCATAAGTGGGAGGCTTTTTCTGGCGGAGGATAATTTTCCTGATCTATTCCCTCGGGATGTGCGACGAGAGAAAGTAGACTTCACGACGACATCGCTTACGACGAGAATTTTGTAATTTCCGAAGTTCGATCCCCGTCCCCGTGAGTGCTGCGGGGGAAAGCCTTCCTTCAAAAACTTCCGCTTCGCTTGCTTCCTCACCTCCACTCTGTTTACTTGGGCTGCCGTGAGAAGTTCCAGGAGCTGATGACGGTTCTACTCACACCCTCTTTTGTCTCGCCGCGTATCGGAAGCGTGTCATGCTTGCGAATAATATCCCACTGGCGCGACGAGGCGAATCTCATGTTTTCTTCGTGTGTGCGACGACAGACTATCGGAAGAGAGTGACGAAACTAAGCATTAGCGACGAACGCTGAGTATCCCAAGGATTTGTAATACGCCAACCCATCAGACCCTGTTGATCTCAGCTGACAAGGATACGTGTCTCGGCAGCTATCAAGGAGGCAGGCTAGAATTTATTCCGACACCACATCAGACAGCTACAGACTCAACAATGTGATCGAGATCATTCAAGTTCTTGGGAAACCATGCTGGAAGGAGGAAAGGAGGCATCGACTCACTTTCGTTCCTCCTTTCCTCTTTCATGGACAAGCGCTGTGGTCCACATCAGATGGTCAGAGTCATTTCCCTCTTCTGTCGCAGCTCGGAAAATCAGAGGAATGAGCACACGTTCTCCGAAGTCAAGCGACGGCAATTCGGCAGTCGCCCTCACTACGGACGAAGACCATGATTGAGAATTGATTGCGAAGATGTCGGATCTACGATCACCCTTGGGTCCCGAATTTGAAGAACTTAAGAAGGCAGCGTCATCTTCCCCTCTTCCCGAACATCATTTCAGAAAACCTCCAGAACAACATGGCTAGCAAATCATTCGTCATGATCAAAAATTCGCCTTGGTTGAGTGTTTTCGAAAGTCGAGCTCCTTCGCCGAACGGGCAGAACGATATTCGCCCACGAAAGAGAATCTCAACTCGGGATTCCAAGAAGATCTATCCGAACGAAGACGTTGGGTAATGTTCGAACTGGGTCCCAAGGCAAGCTTGGGGGGAGCTAGGATTCGAGTCGTGGAAACATTCCCATGAAAGTCTCCGCGATTGAATGTCGCCATTCACCACTCGAACGTTCATTCGAGCTTTCGAAATTCTCACGAGACACGTTGGGCATACCCGTGCCTTGAAAAGCGTATTGGGTGCAGAGGAAGAACCAGTGCGAGTGCTTTTAATGAAGTAGTCGGAGATGTAATCGGGGAGAGAATAACATCGCCGGAAGGGAACTTCGCGGTGTCTCCCCGCTCCGAGTAGATGAGCCTTCTCTTACTTGAACTTTCGATTGTTACGACGAGCTGTGAGTAGTGGTCCGCCCCCCTGAAACTTGGGGGAAGGGTGTGAGGTGAAACTCGGGATAGGATGATCTGATTGATCGAGATCCTGAAGATCTGCACGTCCTACATCAGGATGAATGATTCATTACTCCTTTGTTGAGCGACACTGAGGAACTCGCTCCCGTGAAACTCGTCCCGTCGTGGAAATGCGCACCGCCGACCTCATCATGATCCCCCATGTTGATTATCATGCTGGCCATCTCGCCCTACGGAATCTGGGCCATAGTCATCGTGAGATCCTCCGGAGCTCATGGACATGGGTTTCCTCATGTTCCCCCACGCGTGAACTCCGTCGGTGGGCATACGACCTCGAGGAGTGGAATTTTCCTGTCACAGATTTTTTATTCCCTATTGGGTCGCCCGACCGACAGAGTTGAAGGGGTGGAATTCATATATCCGGTCGATTGCAAAAAACCGTCTGAACCTCTTTCTTCAAGAAGCGATTCGAGCTAGACCGAGCCGAACGTCATCTCTCCCCAAATCCAGTGTGAAGGAATCCGGGACGGTCATAGCCGGGAATACGTTCGGGAATTTTGCGGCGATACGGATCGGAATCGGCGTCACGACTCTTACCCATTCACGGATAGACAAGGAGAGGTCCCCCGACACGAGAAGTGGAAGGCCGTCGAACCGCCAATGGATACGTCGCTTCCGTACGCATTTTCCTGGATTGCCGGAGGCGGCGTATCGAGGCATGATAAGTCCACCTTTGATGGGTCGTCGGAATCAGGATATGATAAGAAGTCCATTGTCTCCCTGGTTCCGAGAGCTCATGCGGCTGTTCAAGACCGCTCGCCCGTGACGTATTCCAGAGCCCCCGAATCGTCCCCATCTTCTTCCTAAGCCAAGGGGTGGAAACACCGACCAAACTGGAACGAACCTTTTCCATCATAATAATCTTGATGAAGGACGCGTTGACCGTCTCTGTGGAGGCCTTGACTCTCCTCGCCGTGTTCATCTGTTCGGTATTCCTCGCGCTCGACCCCTGACGTGATCTATTATTATCATCGTGGACCGAGCTCAAATTCGAATAGATCGAGTGGTGTCGAGCGGAAAGGCCTGCGATCCTCTGACAGTGTTCCTCTTGTTCGATGGCAAGTTTCAGACAAAGAGCCTCCTTGTCAGAATGAGCACGTTTCCCGGAAGGGCGGAAATGCGCGAGAAGAGAACTCGTGCGAATGGTTGAGAGTCTGCTCTACGATGTGTACGACACGAGAGGAAATTCGTCCATTGACTCCACAAATACGTGCCACTCACGTACCGTCAGCAAATTATTCCCAAGGTCGGATCGCATCGCGATCGACGCACATGCCGCACGCGGCTTCGACGCGGGATTCCCATCGGATTTCGTCGTGCAACGGAGCATGAACTTCACGGGCTTGTATCGAAGGTTCGAAGCACACCATAGACATGGCTTGCCCCTATGGAGCTCCGTTGCTGGAGCAAGGCGACGCGACGTGACTCGAGCAGGAAGCGGCGGGCAAATCCAATTCTGTCCCTCTGGGGAAACTCCCCGGGATCGAGGGCGCCAGAAAAACTTTCGCGGATTCAAGTCCCAGAAGCCCCGAAAGCAGCCGTACGTTCGTCATTCCTTGGCGCCCGAAGACCGATCATTAGATCCTCTGTCATCGATGAGGAGATTTCGGCTCACCCGAGGTCGTGATCGAGCTGCACACCGGAGAGCTCGGGAGCTTTCTCAGCGATCTTTGGTCACAGGAGGAAAGAATCGAAGATTTCACGCAGCTACGCAGTTCAGGCCCCAAGCGGAAAAACGAAGCTCTGCGAGATCGTCCACCGTCATACAGCCTGAAAGTTCGATTGCTCCTCAAAAGTGCTCTTCAAACACCTCCCGAGAGAAACTACTTCCGGGTCGGACCTCGGAAAAATTCCTCATCCGTGACAGCTCTGCCAGGACAACTGTTGCTCCCGTGAATGACAATTCCATCAACATCAGGGAAAGTCTTCTTCGTGCATCATTGTTCTCGGCGGAGGGATGTCGCAACACTGCTTCCCATGTCCGTACAGATTCCTTTGATGCGGGACCGACCATTGATTCTCGTTCGCTAGGGACATCTGAGATTCTACCGTATTCGTGGCTATCTTTCATCTCGCTAGACCCTACTCTCAGTGGAACAGAACAAATGATGACCCCACGCCATCGGAATTCTTAACCGAGAGGGACCCCCTTCCCCCACGAGTGAGTATCGCGGGGAGACCTCCCTCAGACCAG